ACACACTCCTACTTTAAGACGACTGCAAAAAGTTCCTCTTTAATAGCTGCAGAATGCAATTACTGCCATATAACACAATTTGCAGCTTGAAAAACCTACTTTAGAAATGTAATATATGGAGGACAGTGTCATATCGCAAACATGCATTTTCAGATCATCCACCTCTTCCATGTATCAGCTTATGTTTCCTGGTCTTTCACGCTCCTGCCACCAGCTACCAGCAGTGCTAGTGCAATAATGATTTCCCTACTTAATGATTTAGCCATTATAGTCTCCCCTCCACACAAACCTGATCCCGCCGCAGGGCCAACAGGCTTCTCCTGTCTTCTCTCAAAGCTGCTCATTAAGTTCTCAGCAGCAGATGAAACATGACTCCTTTCTGAGTAGTTAAGCCGTGTTTACTAAATGCACTGACGGATAACCTGCACTCTGAGAGACACATTTAGACTGAAAGCCTCTAGTTTTTGTCACGAAAAGTTCAATTAGCAAATAATACATCAGATTCAAACAGCAAAACAAGAAAATGTGATATAAGTATGCAAGAAACAGGATTAGATCATTTAAAATCACATGGAAAACAAAAGGGCAAAATATTTTTAAAATCTAATCTTAGTAGCATAGTGAAAATGATAGTTGATCTAAGTCCCATTTTAATTGTTAATTTTATTCACTCAAGATGTAGTCAGTGGAACTTAGTGTTTTTGATATGGCGGAAGGATATCGTTCCCGGCTGTAAAATGTCCCATTACAATTAAACATAACAAAAAACTGAACACACATTTAACTGTGGGCAAAACAATTTTTCTCCTAATTTATAATAACCATGCTTCAAAAATGTAAAGCTTATGAAGCAGTATAAAAGTTGTTGTAACGGCAAAAAGGGGACACGCCTGAGCATCTTTCACCGCATACCCACATAGTAGGCTATCCTAAAAACAAGACACTTATGCTCTCAGTTTCATTATGATGATCTTGCAATGTTCAAAGTTGAAATGTGTTGCACACTGGCATCCTGTTTTGACTTTCTTAGATGTGATTTCCAGCATAACAAAAACGTAAGCTAAAAGCATCAGCTAAATTCAGCATTTTCACCCCAATTTCTTTGGAGTTGCCTTCTAGACAACATTAACTATCTGTCTTCAGAACAAATAAAGAAATGTCAGCCATCAATTCCACAATGCAATGCATCCACTGCATGACTCGAAAGCAGTCAGTGATCATACAAATAACGATAATAAGTCCAGAATCTCAATATAATGCTAAGTCAAAGTGAAAGAAGAACAAATGATTGAATTCAGGCATAAACCACCAAGTTAAAAACTAGTAAACACAAATCTAAGTGAGCCCCCAGAACAATTGAGTCAAATGGTTAACTTAATGAAACCATGCCTGGATATCATCTTGAAAAGGTCATCAACCACCGATCAACTCAAATCTGAAAAATGCTCTCTCACTGATATAAATTGTCTAGCTTGGGCTATTTCTATCCTCAAATTGGACTTTGCCTATATGCTCAAACTGACAAACTGTGATAAATTCATCATAATATATATATATTTTGAACTCTTTGTACTCCTATAGAACTTTTTAATTGTGTGCTTTAGGCTTTTAGGTGCTGGTAAAATGCATCCATCATGTGATTTCTAATGAGAGAAAAATCCGTTGTGTGAAGGTTAAAGAAAGTGGGTTTAAAATATGAAGTTGGTTTTTTTAACAACAGGAACAGTTGAACGCCCCTCCTCACTTAAAATGACACATAATGGAGGCCTGAGGGTGCAATCCTTTGTGTTGAAGGAACTTTTGATTCAGTTAAACAGCTAAAACAAGAACCTTTCACACCCAAACAATGGACTCCGTTTTTAAACTTAGCACTCGACAAGTGAGGAGCAAATTGTACGTGTGTGTGTAGTGTGTGTGTGTATACGAGTGCGCACGTGTGTGCATGTGACCCCCCCTATGTCTAACAATCACCCTGACGCATACCACCCTTATTCTCCTCAAATAAAAACAGGGTCAAAGGAAAAGAGAAATCATCCACTGTTGAAGTACTTTACGAGATCCTCCTCTCAACAGAAAAAGGACTGAGTATCCATGGGAATCTTAGCACGTTAGGGAGGCCTTTCTCCCTTCCTCTCATCCGCTCTCCCCCGCTGCACCCATGGACCAATGCAATTGTTTATTTTCTCCTATTGAGGCTGCTCCATTCACTGGCTCTCACATTTACCCTGCTCAATTGGAGTGAGACAGCACTTATTCGAGGAGAGGAATGTAGTGTTCCACTGACAGGGCAGCAAGAATGCAGAAGAAATAATTAAAACTTGTTAAAGGAAAAAGGTACAGCTGAGCATGAGGGAGAACGTCGTCAAACCGAACAAAGCGGGACTGACAGGATTTTCTGCCGTGATGAGTATATCGACCCATCACCTTGACACTACAAAGAGTGTTTGAATAACGCACAATGCCAGAAAGTGGAGCAGGGATTCTATAAGGAGGTCTTTCATTCGCTTTGCTTTCTTTACTGAAACTCTCCTGCAGAACAATAGGGTGTTCTCTGGCCTGTCCTCCAGCATCCTCAGCACAATAGCTGAGAGTTGGACTACAGAGTTAATGTCTCCTGAGGAGGTAGTCGTGATGACCGTTTCCTTCCCTGTAACAATGGCTGCCAAAGCCTTCTCTGTTATCTTTCACCAGGGTGAATCATAGAGGCATTGAGCAGCTGGTTGAATCATAACATCCATACGGAAACATTACATTACATTACATGCCATTTGTTAGACGCTTTTATCCAAAGCGAATAACATACATTCAGTACTGTGGACAAGCCCCACAGGAGCAATTTGGGGTGAAGTGTCTTGCCCAGGGACACAACGACATGCTGACTCAAACTTGCTATCCCCTGATTCGAAGACCAGCACACTACCCACTGAGCCACAGCCACCCTGTGCACCAGTGCAGTATTTGATAAAGATTATCTGCTCATGCACAATGCCTCGTCAAGCAGTTTCAGGGTTCATCTTGGTTTGTGTGGTTGTGATAGTACATCCCCGGCAGCTGATTAAAAACAACAGTTTTATCAGTAAGATCATGTTATCAAAAGACGCTGCCTGCTTCTTCAGATCAGGTTATAGTCCATTGTGCATGCAAATGATCTTTGATTTGTTTGTCATTTTCAGGTTCAAGCAACATGGCTCTTTCCATGTATTTGGATAATCTGACAAAAATTACAATGGTAATATTAAACTATAGACAAACAAGATGAAATATATTAATCACCTTTTGACTTGTGCACAGCAGAAAGCAGTTTGCTATCTAATTGTTGGCAACAATCACACTTTCTCTAGACAATCATTTATGCTGAGTCAGTGCTAACTGGTCTCTACACGTAGTTGGTAACAGAGTGAACATGAAAACAAAACAGTTCAAATCGAGAAACTGAAAGTAAAAGTTTCAATAAGACAGTCTAGCTGCTTGTCCATGATCAGCATTTGACATTTGATTTCTGCATATTTAAACGTCATCTTTAGTTCTGTTTTTGAGTAAAGGTTATTGCTTGCTGTGTTGTTTTGTAATATGTTTTCTCTGTCTGTTTTGAAGGTGAGCTGCCAAGTGACTGCTGATGAATATTGGATTTGAACTAACCTTGTTTGTCTAATTTGTGTCTTCTTTTATAAATTCTATATCTTTTGAAGGGACACTATAATGTTACCTTTAATCAGAACAACATGGTCATGATGAATGTAACGTTAATACAGTATGAAGCGATAACATTATGTGGATCTACAGTTTTGAGGGGCCTCACACACGAATAGTTGAGGGCACTTTCTCTGTAGCTTAAAAGGAAACACTAACGTAAGGTATTAAAGATTTAAAGTGAACGGAGCCTGCACATAATAATATTTGTTGAACATGTGTGAAATACTTTGATTTGAATAAAGAATAAAAGGAGGCGGATATATTATCTGACATTGATTCATCCTGCTTATTCACAGCTTGAACTGGAAGTGTCTTTTCACAAATAAAATGGAAATACGCAGTGAAACAAAAGATTTCTTGGGCAGAAGATCAGTAACATGGGCTTCTGAACCCAGGCCGGCAGGAGGTTGCCACACAGGAAACACAAGTAAATCTTACCTGCCCTCTACTGGTTACACACATCCAATACACCGTGATTAAAGACAAATACTTTCTGTGGAAGGTAACTCACACTCATAGTATAAATAAACGTACTTAAACAGTAACAGTACATTTTTATGGTACTTTAACTTTATATAAGTATTTCCATTTTATGCTACTTTTGCGACTATCCAATAACATTTCAGAGGCTGTTGTAGTTTGTACTCCATTAAATGTATCTGACAGTTTAAGAAGATTAAGAAGATTCAGATTCAGAGATTCTACTTTGTTTACCAGCTGCAACTTTTAGTGATGATCATAATGCATCAATACGTTTTATTCAATAATATGACATTTCATTACAACAAAAATAAATATGATACTCTTTTTTGATGCAAATACATTGTGCAGTTACTTGAGTAAAAGGCTTTTACTTGTATTTGCATAACTAGTAAAATAACAACTGTGATAGTACAAATTACCTTTAAAAAAAAAGAAAACTGATAACTTATTTCACCTCTGATCCTCCTCTGTATTAGGCAGATATGACATTTGAGGTGGACACACACACACACACACACACACACACACACACACACACACACACACACACACACACACACACACACACACACACACACACACACACACACACACACACACACACACACACAGTAGGAAACTATGTTAGGTTGCAATTTCTTCCTTTTAGCCAATCACATGTGGAACTGTAACAAAGAGGAAGTTATCACAGACAGAGGGTTAAGAGTTGAATATGATCTATTTTTCTCTGTGGTTTTTTTACAATCCCCAGTAGCTGCATGTTGCATAGACTAACCACCCTGCCACACAACAGCAGCTGCAGAGCCTCTCTGTGATCTCTCACGATGTACGCCTTCACCGAGTATTATGATTACTACAATTACAGTGAGAACTTTACTGACCTTGGGTTGTTTCTTTTCAACGCCACTGTGGATTGTCCCAGCTCACACATGAGTGGCTCCAACATCTTCCTGCCCATACTGTATTACATTATATTCCTCACAGGCTTCCTGGGCAACCTCTTTGTGATTTTGGTGGTGGGCAGCAAAGGTAGGAAAAGTGGGCGTCTGGTGGACACTTTTGTTGTCAACCTGGCCCTGGCAGACCTCGTCTTCGTCCTCACTCTGCCTCTGTGGGCCATCTCTGCAAGCCGCAGCGGCCACTGGGACTTTGGGGCAGCTGGAGACCTTCTGTGTAAACTGAGCAGCTTCATCATTGCTGTCAACCGCGTCTCCAACATCTTATTCCTTACCTGCATGAGTGTGGACCGCTACCTGGCGGTGGTGAAGCTGATGGACTCGAGGTACCTCAGGAGCAGCAGGTGCATCCGGGCGACATGTGCTGCTGTGTGGCTGAGTTCTCTGGTGCTGGGTATCCCATCTCTTCTGTACCGCAGAGTGGAGCCCTCAGGGGATGGACTCTCCTGTGTGGAAGAAAACCACTCACCCTTTTTTCTGGGCCTGAGCCTCGCCATGGCTTTACTCACTTTTGTTATCCCTGTGTTGATCATCGTGCTCTGCTATGGCACCATAATAATGTATCTCAATCAGCACTGTGCTGCCAATCCTCGGGCTGAAGTGCGACACAGGCACTCCCTGAAGATGGTCCTCTCCATCATATTGGCCTTCGTGGTGTCCTGGCTCCCCTTTAACATCTTCAAAGTCATCGTTATCAGCGCGAAGCTCTCCGAAGCTGACCTGAGTTGTGAAGCTGAGTCTTGGCAGAGTAACGGGCTCCTCTTGTCGGGATGCCTGGCCTTCCTCAACAGCTGTGTGAATCCGGCCATTTACTTTTTCCTGGACAATCACTTCAGACGAAGTGCCCAGAACTTGTGCAAGAGGTTCACAGGGAAGCAGAAGTTCCTGCAGAGCCACCACTCTTCAGCCTCTTTCACCAATGTTGGCACTTCAGAGAGCTGTGGGGCAGTCAGTGGGAGAACTAAGCTCCAGATGTGTGAGTAGGAGGAGACGATATTTTAAATAATTTCCCTTTGAAGGGAGAAAAGTGCTTTATGTCGTGCTGATCGTGATGATAAGAGACTTTGTGCACATTTTTCTCAAGGGATGTTTGAATACAAAGTAAAACCAGACACATGGCAATACATTTGTTTTGAGTAAGTACAGTTCTGTGATTTTGCTTTGTCATATATCTTCTGTATCATATATCTTCTGTCTCATTTACAACAAATATGGAATATGCTGTTTATATCTGCTTATGGTGCACCATGCAGTAGTTTAGATTTAGGAGTCAGTAATTGATATCTTATTGTTTTATGAACAACCTTAAACAATTTTTTAACTAAAGTAGATGAATCAAATGTGTTTTAATTCAAAAGAGATGTCAGTCGCAAATTACATGTGAAGTCAATACAATGATGTTTAGTCAGAATATCTATAATTGAATCTAAAATTAATTAACAAAAATGTCAAGTTATTTTTATTTAAATAAATGCTGTCATTACTATTCAGTTGTAGTTGCTTCTTCTTAGATTCTCTAATACGAAATAACATGTTGTTTCCCTTTGTAAAGTAAACTATCTGTTGTTTTTTGCTATTTTAAATTATAACATTCAGAGCGTTGTACATTTTTTCTGCAGTTCCCTACTGAAATGTTTCTAAAATGCTGTTTTAAATGTTTTATTAATTGTAAGTTTTAAAGCAATAATTCACAGATTATGCTGAAATTCGCAAAACAACTTCCTAATGTCCATGTGTTATAATGGACCAAACACGTATTAAAAGTCTTGTTTTGGTGTTTAATTGTAATTAAAAAAAAACATTGTACAGTAATTAATCTCTCGTTATAAGATTTTCTTTAGCGTCTGCCAACAAAGAAGAGTCCCTGAGGCACGGCCAAATGTTACTTCTCGTAAATCAAAGGTATTCACATGAGTGTTAAGGCCAGAGTCGGGTATATGAAAGTTCAAACGTTCATGTGTGCCCACTTGTTTTTCTATATGTGTAGTTTCAAAGTGTGAAAAAGTCGGTTGGTGCACGCCACGGTGTCAGGAATTTTCCCTCAACAAAAAACTCATATGTGTCTGGTATCAAGATAAACAGCAGAACACTACGTATTTTATTGCTGTAACACCGTTTATGCATACTTTGAAAAAACGACAGAACAGGATATATTCTAATGTGGCCGACAAATCAGACAATCTTTTTTAAATTGTATTTTCAATGTTTTTTGATTGGAATAAGAAAATTAAGAATTATTTGCCACAATGTACCTTTTGCTGTTTTCTTTTATTTATAGGGTTGAGAGAAAACCCTACCGCATGACCATTACTTGGATGGATTTTGATCATCAATTCTTCATCCTAATTTCTGGCAGAAACAGAAATACATTTTAGTTCACTGAATTGATGGGATATAAAGTGCAATGATGTTAATAGGCATACGTTTTTTAAAACTATAGATGAATTCAATCCGCAACTGTAATATAACGATTTTAATCTATTAATCTAAGTTGTAATGTCCCTTGGCGTGCTTAAAAATTCTACCTTTGATTTGTTAGAAGTGTAATGTGTTATTTCCTTTTGAAGATATAGTCTGGCATCAAAGTCCAGAATAGAAACCCTTTAATGAACTGAGTGACTTATTCTGCCAGTCTGGTACACACATAATGAAAGGTGTGATCTTGGCACAGTGGGCGAGCTGTCAGTCAGTTCCTGATCGCAGTCTGAGAGACTCTCAGTTCTCATAGCGCTGCTCCTTTTCTGTGATTGTGAGACTCTCATTGCAAAACTCATATTTTCAAAACTTCAGTCATGAAATTTGAAAAGTGAACTTTTCTTCAACTTGTCTAGTGAGTATGATTGCTGTTTCTGGGAAGATTAAATCCCCGTCAAATGTTACAATGATGATCAAAAACTATAATAGTAGGCTTTCATATAAAAATACAGGTTCATCTGGAGCTGGCTGGTGTATTGATGTAATAATATGAAAGCACTTCCAGTCTTTGCGCCCCCTTAAACGCTTTTACAAATACAAGTCAACATTCACCTAGAGGCAGAGGCTGCCAAGGTGCCCCTTCCATTTAGAGACAAAGTACTTTAGCACAATGAACAAGATTTCACAGTTTAACCACAATAAGGCAGAACTTCAAACACAATTCAACACTGCAACTCTCAGGTCATGTGATTAACTGTGGGTTTCTTGTTCCTTAAAAAGTAATCTCAACATGAGCTCTACTTGATCTGTACAGAATCAGCTTTCTGAGAAAAACTCATGTTGTCTAGTGTTCTTATGTTTATGTTTATTAAGGATCCCAATTAGCTTTTGCTCTTGACAAAAGCTACTCTTCCTGGGGTCCGACACTTAAAACAGTACAACAATAATACAACAATAATACAACGACATTCATGATATAATTCCTGACATCATTAACAACATCACCAATATCATCAACATCATCAACAAATCTCATCCACATTCAATATCAATCTCAGCCAAGGATGAGTGCACAAGACACCCACCAGTACAAAGCATGAGATCAAATTAAATTAGGGTTCACAGCTCACAAGGGTACATGTTCATTAGTAGATGGCCCTTCAATCTCTTCTTGAAAGAGGCTCTGGACTCTATTTCAGCGAGGTAGTTTGGCAATGAGTTCCATTCCTTTATAGCTCTATAAGACACAGAAGATTTCAGAAGATTTGTCCTGGGTTTAGGTGCCAGTAGATGACCTGATGTAGCTTGTCTAGTCTTATGGTCATGCTCGTCTCTTGTGTAAACTATTTGATCATAAAAATATAGTGGTCTTTTGCTAAATTGGAAATTAAAAAAAAAGTGATAACACAAGATTGCAGACGTTTCTCAACCGGAAACCATGATGGTTTCTATGCATAACTCCAATATGAGTGCGCTTCGAACAGTGGAGAGCTAGTCTGGCAGCCTTGTTTTGAGCTATTTGTAATTTCTGTATATGTGTTTTTGCTGCTGATGACCATATGACCGGACTCAAGATGTGACAAAACTAGAGACTGAATGACTTGTTTCAAAGTGGTTGGTGTTACATACTTTGTACATTTTCTCGTCACAGCTATGCTCCTTCCCATTTTAGTTACAATACTGTCTTAATAGGCATTGACATGAACATATGATATCTGGTGACATGTAAACTGAGTATTTAACATTTATAACAACAAAGGATCATGGCTTTGGTTTGTACTGAAACGTCTCAATCTGGACAAACATGTAATTTATTGTTGAATCGTGTATTCAATAATATGCTATGCTTTTCCAAAGAACAATTCTTCATAACTTTAAAGATAAACAATGAAACAAATTAGAGAACCATGGTTTCAGATGTATTCACAGAAACGTGCATGGGAAAAGATAAAACCACTGAGACAGTTGTGTTTACATATTGTTGTTTTTGCAACAAAAAAAAGTAGGCTACTGATATTGAAAAACGGACTTATATATCTGATATCTGATATATCACTTTTCCTCATCCATTATACAGGCACATTTGTATATATATCTTCAATAATTATAATGTGTGGTATCGGGGCTAGCTAAATCAGCTTTGATTGATTGCTTCATAACATATCAAGCTATACATCCTTGTCTTGTGTGTTCCCTTTCAGGCAATTAGCACAATTGATATGCTTAATCGTCCATTTTAGTGCATTACAAAAAATAAATAATGTTCTCCCATCGGTTGTACACAACAATTGTTTGTTATACCGGATGAATTAGTCATGCCAGCTACATACCTATGCGGGTGACGTCAAAATCTGCGGAATAACATTACATTCCCATGAAAAGGTGGTGACTGCCGGTAAACCGCCCACAGAGGATGACCCATGAGGAGTTCACAAGCCCATTTTTTAGCTGGTAAATTCAAGACTTAAGTTGTAAGTATAACTTGCAGCCCTTTCAATGTCCAGGCACTTAATGAAAAATAAACCAATATTATGTCCCGACGAAATATTATTTTATAGTGTGGCTATTCATTCATATTAGCAATCAAGGGACATGAACAAAACAATGACAGTAACCTTAAATAACGCCTTAAAGTAATAATTAATTCTACATATTGAGTTGTTTTGAGACCTTTCTTCATGATGTAAATGATCGTAGTTTGGTCACTTGATTTTAATTCCGGTTTGTAAGCTACCATGTTTATCGAAAAAGCGGGTTACCATGGTAAACACAGTGTGTTTTTGCTTCGCTCGTGTTTTTTTTCGACGGCACCTGAAGGCAGCACAGCTATGCTTTACTTCTCTGGTCTGTAGAAGTAGCCTCTCCAACAAAAGTTTAGTTTAGGGAGTAACACTTTATTTTATCGTTTCTACTGTAATGCATCGACTCGTTTAGTTTAGAGAGACGTACATTTGAGGGCTCCGTGTTGTTCCCCTCTGTTCCTTACTCAGTGTAAATAGGAGATAAACTTCCAGCTCAAATCTGGGATACTGGGAGCCGATGGAGCGCAGTTTGTATGGATACAGATGAGGCACGATGCTAGGCTAACTAACTAGCTACTAAGGTAAGAGCAAAAAGCGATGAAGTTAGACGTTTTTTTGTACATTCTTTGCATGCATGTACGAAATGCATTATTTATCAAGGCTAACGAACTAATTGTTTCTTTGAAAAGTAACAATTTATGTGAATAAAATGTTTGGGAAATGCTCACAACTAAGCGTCTTTGGAAACTTTTGAGAAACTCTCTGCAGCTGAGGCCCTGCAGCTTTTTGAAGCTGAGTTAGCAGATGGAAAAAAAACATATCTTTATTTATTTATCCTTTCTACATATAGTTTCATATAACGTTACCTGACCTAATTTAAACCCATAAGATGTCCAGACTTAACTCAAGCTTATTTGTACAATTTGACGTTATTGTGTAAATCTACCTCCATTTATACTGTGTTGTGTTCAGATTGTCTTTACATATTTATTATGTCATTCTTCTTCTTCTTCTTCTTATTATTCTTATTATTTTCCCAGTAGTTTTAGCTCAAATATGAAAGTAAACCTCTCAAACATTTTTGTAATTTCTAGTTATGCAATTTTGTGAGTTCATTTATATAATTGAATACATTCTTCCTAGTATAAGCCTGTATTTTATGAACAGTTAGTCCCAGGTATTTTATGAATGTGACAATTTCTGTGTAAAAGAGAACCAACATGACACCATAAACCTGACTTCACTGACCAGCAGAGAAGTTATGCAACATCCTCTTTTAACAGAAACTCACATAATTGTAAAGAATGACAGGAACAATGACAATTATTGTTAGGGTATAAATGGAAATGTAATGATATATGTTTGTTTAAATCTTCTATAAAGGTGTTTTTCATCTTTTGAGCAGTCCCATTTGTTAGTGTTGTGATTTCTGTGCATTGAAACATTTCTGCTGCCTACACATTCCTGAGCATTGGCCCGGCGCGAGAGGACAAAGTGGCTTAACCCCTGGAACCTCAGTGACCTGCCGGTGGGACAGTCATTACAAACTTTAGCTGTGCTGCCAAACTTTGTAAAACAAATAATTATTTTTTTACATCTGAAGCACATTTAGTTTCATAATAAACCAAATAGGTCAGATAAAATATAGAGGAAAGTAGCATCACAAGTTATCTAGAATATGTTAATTAAATGTAACACAGCCATAGTAAACATATTGGCTTTTGGTTTATAATATTTCACTTTGTGTGTAACATCATTGTGCTTCAACAAAGAGCTTGAACTGGCTGATATGGAAAATGTAAACAGTATAAATTCACAGTTAAGTACTAACATAATATAATAGCCACTTAATGGGAGCTTTATGTATAAATGTCTGTGTCTGTGTCATGGTTTTTTGATGTGTTTAGGCTTGTTCACTCTCACAGTGTAGGGCTTGGCCAACATTTAGAATAGACCTTGATTTGCATTGTGGTGAACAAACTTCTAATTCAGCTATCCACAAAAGGCACACCCTATCTGCAGGCCTCCTCATTTGAGATATGCGTGGTATTTTTTCACATCTTTATTACAGTCAATTAGAGCCTTTAGGCAACATAAAACTTGAAGCTGGCTGCAGGCAGGAAGAGGCAGGAGGGAACCCAGCAGCTCTAAGAGTCGCTTTGTTTGCCTTTTTCAAAGTTTAAAGGTTTGTGGTGCATTAGTGTAACTTGATTTTCTGAGCATCATTACGGCAAGATGACCTGTTTGCACCTGGGGAAATAGCGAAACTGCAATATATTGAGGGGAAAAGGGGAAATCCCTGGCAGCTGATGGCTCCACACACTGGCAACGGTGGTCTAGCCGTACTCTTATAAAAGGACTCAAAAATATTTAAAGAATTTGTTTGGCCAGCTGCTGTGTTGCCTACACAAAGCTCTCTCTCTGTGTCTCTTGGGGACCCCTGGTTTATATAAACTACCCATGACATCCACCAACTGGCTACTTCTTCCCAGGACGAGTGTCTGTGATGTACAGCAGTGTGAGGGAAGTTGTTAACTCGTCTTCACATCCAGCATGATGGACTTAACTGCACAGCTGTTGTTAATCCATTATTTAAAGAAGAGAAATTGTGATACAGCTGAATTCCTTACAACTCTTAAGTGTCACTTTTAGAAATGGAAAGATATGATCACTTAGTGTCACAATAATTCTAATCAAAAAATTGCAATTCAGGATATTATCCCTAAAATTAAACATATTGGAATCCCTTTAGATTACATTTTGTAAAGAAAATAATATTTATAACGACGATACGATACCTATAGTTGCGTTAGTGAACTTCCTTTAAAAAAAAAAAGTTCCCTGCATAAATAAACAATGATACAACATAGATAAAAAACGCAACATTGGGCGAGTCGTTTTTTTAATATGTATTTGAAACAAGGCTTTTTTTCACATCTCTACAACAATAGTGGATATTGTTGACTATCCAGATAAAGATAATTCACCATGATATACTTATTGTGAGTGTTTTACATTGGGAGACACAATAACATCCATTTTTCATGCCTTCCTTATTTACAATGCAAATCTGTTGCCAGAAGTGTTGCTATAACCTCTTATCTGTAGTTTCCCATGAACAGAGGAGATTGTTTTTCTTTTCTATGACATCACTTCCTTTATATCTGATTTTAGGTTATCAAACTGCTTGGTATGCTGCCTGTTTACACAAGACGCTGCTGCTGTTCTTTCATTATATTAACCATACAGGCGCTGGTAGTTTGTAGCAATTATACTTTCATGATCGTTGAACCAAGAAATGCACTGGGCAGGACATTAACAGTTGAAGATGAGCATTTTCAATGGTAATCTATAGGCCAACGTTCGTAACTGAAGGGTGGTGAACCCGATTTTTGCGGTTCGGATTTACACAAATGTGCCACATGATGGGTTTATGTCTACAAAAAGGAACAGACAGACACGTCACAGCCACACACACAAGTTATGCATTCTAATGTGGGGTTTTTTCAGCATGAGTGGGAATAAAGCTTGCCATTTGCAGCATTCGCAATTTAAAATAATAAATAAAAATGAACTATGGAGGAACCTTGAAAACAAGATTTTGACAAAAAGAAGGTGGGTTTAACCAGGCGCAGTTATTGGTATTAAAGTTATTTACGAGTTAAAGTTGTATTATCAACATACAGAGTCAGAACATTTAAAAAAATGCTGTCGATTATAGTTTTATAGAGAAAACAATGAGTATAGATCAGACTTCAAAATCAGAACTGGTGATCAACTGCATTCAGTTCATCTCTCATTTTCCCTTCTCTTGATGTAGAAACTATACAATCGTTTCACTGTTTTTGTAATTCAATTTAATTTAATATATATAAATCCAACCTGGCCGATCTAGAGTCAAAGCTTTCTAGAACAAATGCGCTATAGGCTAGCTGGTATTTAGTTATAAGCTGCTGGTGCCTACAAAAATGTTGTCAACTTGTCATTGATCTGTGATAGGCCAGTCTAATATTTCACTACATTGTCAAAGCAAACGTGAAGGCATGTGTGAATTCCCCCTGCTTGAGTTCACACTATGAAACCTAAATGTAGAAGTTACCAAACCAAATATCTTCTGCTTTCCCCGGTGCCATGTCATTTGAGAACTGATTCTTCAGTGTCTGGGAATTGCTGGACCTTTTCTCAGCGGGTCTGAGCACCAACATTCCTGGAAAGCCAAAATGAATATTGAGATTCAGATGAATGTCAGCCATGCAGAAAGCGAGCAGGTGTCTCTGTAAATCATGCGGACTATCCCACCACCATGTGTTTCCCTCTTTTTTAAGTGACGGCAAAAATGTCAGGCCACAAAAGGGCTTCTGTATTGGTAGCCCGGAAGTTAGAAGATGAGTAGTGAAAGTTTGAAAGCTATTTGCAAATATAAGCTAGTACATTTGTAAGTTCATAATTTGTTATCCATTTTGAATGACCCCTTTAAACTTCCAGGAGATGGCAGTAGAAATGAACTGACCAGATATTTGTTGTACATGCAGAGCTGAACTGTAACAGTTTCTTCTGAAAAAAAGGGACAAGGTCAAGAGTCATCAACAGTTAATTATCAAGTCATAAAGCCACCTTTTGCCGGTGATGAAATCGTGATATCTGGCTGTAGACGCATGCATGTTAAACCTGAACCGAGAGATTAACGGAGGTAAAACAGCTAAACAAGCCCTTTGAAAGCATGTGTTTACGAACATCATGAGGATAAACTGACTAAGCCTGCAAACCTATGAATATTTGTATTAATTAATCTGTCAAATACAAAATACTTGGAAGGTGAAGTTTACCACCTTTACAGCTAGTGTTTTTGAAAAATCACAAAAGTTGTTATTTTGTTGAAAATCAACTAATTAATTAATTGACAAATCACTTCAGCTCTTAAACTGATGCTATACTTAAGTGCTTGTTGAGTGTTGTTGGTAGATTTATTTTATCTTGAGCCCTTTGATGTCCCGTCTACTTTTGTATTGTAATGGTGCTTTTGTACTGGGACACATGTCAGGTTGCACCACCTTCATTAGACGCTGATAAGAGGGTAAAGCAAAGTGTAATTTATCTTTACCTCTGTCATTGTTCTTGACACAGTTTCAAGCTGAGACGGGAGCACTGACTAAGTTATATGATACTGACTCAAGTGTTCAGCCCTCTGTATGTGGCCACTCCTCTTCAGCAGGCAGCGCTTTCTTAGTGGGCGAGTCTCTCATTCCTGACCGGACTCCACTCAGCTCAGGTTTTCTGTATTTCCATTCAAGTCGGGAATACTGAGGGAAGGTTTTCACTCTTTGGATTTTTACAGTTTTTTAAAAGTTTTTCATAAAGTAAGTGGATTTTTAATATGTTTTCCAATTTCAAATTCCCTGTACTGAATTCCTCTATTGTCCTCTTGGGGCTGTTATTTGGATTAATGTGACATAGCTGTCCTTCTCCTCCTAACTATTGTGGAGTTGATATTTCTATATGTGACATTGATGCTATCAGTATGTTGTAATTGTTTTTTCTTTAAAACATACACTGACACTTGACTTAAAATAATGAGGAACACTGCCTTCAGCTACAGTTTTGTAGTTCAGTACGAGTTTTAGCACCTTCAAGGTAGGGACAACTCCTTACCTGTTTGTAAGTGTGTGTTTTTCTTTCTGCTAAATCTTTATCAAATAAATGCTACGTTTGTACTTGAGTTTGGCAATAGCAAACAACAGGATATGTCCAGCAAATAATTCAAATTGAAGAATGTAACAGATTGCTCTCTATATCAACATTTCATCATATTGTATATTTGACGGCTAGATACTGCATATCTACAGAGCATCAAAGTGCTTCAGTAGTTTTAGTTCCTTCTTTATGCGATTGTGGAATGAGATTCTGATGGTGTTTGTTTCAGGGAATGTCTTTAGTTGGCACACCTTAAACTAGTGATATGGAATCTGAAAATGTAAAACATTTAAAGACAGATGACTGGACGTCCCCAGATTTTAACTTCTTTTTGTCTTTTATTGGAAACAATGACTTAATTGATCGGTAAATTCAATCTCCTTGATGATTGAAAAACCCTTAAAGGTATCTTGATAATTGAAATCAAGAGAAAATTCAATCATCAGATTTTGGACTGTAGGTGAGAAAAAAATCTACCATGGGGAAAAAGATCAGTAGTTTCATCCCTTGTGGGTTTATTTCTCTAACTATTTGTTTTTTCGGGCTTCAAACTGCTGCAAATAGTTATGTATATATTCATTGTTTGCAATCTTGTATATTGTAGAGAACATTTCGGCTAAAATTAGCATGTTTACATCTATTTTTGAAACAGCGCTGTAGGTCGTGTTGTGATTTAAGTGTCCTGTTTTAAGCTGTTCCGCCTTAATTCAGCAAACACAGCAGCCAATTGTTGGTTCTTTGGAGGAGCGAAGACTAGTCACAATCATGTGAGCTGTTTAGAGGCTATCTCATGTTTATGTCATGTATAGGATTATTAGGGGATATATATTCTATGGATTGCTGAACGTCACCTTGAGGATGGACATAAAATATATTAGAAATAACTCTTGCATGTTGTCATGACTTCACCATATCTATTCCTTCCACAACTCAATGCCTGCTGGGAAGCTTACCCCCCCAAGCTGTGACAAACCTCCCCTGTGTGTTGGTATGCACCCACCATATATTTTCTTAGTTAATATTCAAACCCACAAGTTTCATAGGTTTTTCTTTTTGACACCAGCCGAATTTATGGCTCATACGTCCTGAGTCTTATCTAAGGGAGTGAGATAATGGCGATCATATGACATCACAGACTAACAAACAGGCAGTCGCACGAAACTGCCTAAACCTGGCAACATGCGTGTGTACTCATGCTGTGGGAGACTATGACTACACCTGACTGTAGGGTCAAGAAGGCCAGTCACACCTGAATCACTCAATCAACAGGTCATAGCATTAAGTAATGAGCCTCTGTTAAGGCTGTTTGGCTTAGACATGGGTTTACATTTTGACTCATCTAGTGCTTGTAGCCTAATCGCTTGTAGTCATTTTATTTTATATAATCAGTTGTATTTTCCCCTTATGGTCTCCCAGAGGTTTGCAGGCTTAAACACTGCGCTGATGTTTTTGCCTGAATTGTCACAGTTTGAATGTGTTCTGATTTTGTCTTTTGATTTTTACAAAAGACAATAAAACCAGAAATACAATGTGAAATATTACATGTTGTTTGTTCAGTCAAATTTCAGATTTTCCTAAGAGAATTTACCTTTTATTACACCAAACAGCCATTCTAATGTTTGAACAATTACACAAATTATCCCTATTTTCTATTAAATCTAAGTTACACCTAAAACCTTGAAAATTGTGATGGATGCTAAAGCTGAAATGTTACTTCCTAGGAAATGGTGAGGGTCGACATTACCCAGTGAAGAATAGCAACAGTAAGTGGATCCACTGACATGGAGGGCAACGGAGAGATCAGTGACACTGACAGCGGCATCATCCTTCACTCAGGTAAAACATCTTGTCTTTTGTTTGTTGTAATTGGGAATCACACATTAACACAAAAGTCTAAATCACAAACATCTTTTCAGTAAATTAACGAATAAATTAACGAATGCAGTTTTTTAGACTATTCAATCGTGAAAGGTATACTGTCAAAATGGTGAAAGACTTGATTGATTTAAATTAAAAATTGATATATAAAGCAAAGAATCAATCTCTTTCAGCCAGAAGACCCTTTGCTAGAGGCAAACAAATGTAGAAACTGAGACACACCTTAGTTCAGCCCTTGGTAATCTTATCGCTGCACCTGCTTTTAAATGACCTAAAGATACATGAAAAATGTCAAATAACTTTCATGCTGATAGCTTTCTGCCAAAGAAACACTTTACTTCAAACTTGTTATGCTCTACTTCCTTGCTGTTAAATTGAGACTCGTTGGTAACATAAATCTTCTCCCGACACACCAGGTCACCTTTTTTTATTACTACCGGTAGGTCATTATTGGATACGTCACTCTTGTGCTTCACCAAATATTAAGCAACATGACTTCCTTTCAGAGAATAACACATAGCAGATTTCAAGGAGTTAACAACTAACGCTGTGGTTTTCTTGGTAGAAGACTCACTTTTGAATTCAATCAAATTTAATAAATATTCTTAAATCAACTCCAAACTTTAGCAAACAGCAGATGTGTATTTGGGGTGATTCCAGCAAGTTTAAAAACAAGTGCGTCTATGTTGTTCAAGAAAACAAGTTGTCATGTGAAAACTCGAGCAGGCATTAAAACGCATGCGGTACATTGTGAGTTTATATCAGATTAGTTTCTGCACAACAAGAAGGAAGCATCGAAAGTGATCCACATTAAACTTCAAATAAAAAAAATTCCCTGTTGCATTGTCTATATATATGGATCATTTATTTGAAAAAAGAAATCGTATTTTTTATTCTATCCATTCTTCTTTATTTTTGAAAAACCTGAAGCCTAGATTGCCCACTGTGCAACTTGAGATAATGTACCCTGGAGCTGCTAGCCTCCAGCAGAAGTGAAGAGCAGGTTACAGAAGTTTCAAATTCTCTAGCTCCAGCTTCTCAATCATGAGAAATGTTTGTGTTTTGTTTTATTCTCATTAAATTGAATATCTTTGCTTTTTGGAAAGTTACAGGACAAATCAATTTAAGCTCAAGGTATTTTTTTTTTGCAGCAATCAATAAGGAAGTCACCCAATATAATCATCCAAATAGTTCCCTTAGTCCTATAAGGTAACAATAACAAAGAATTAACAGCAAACTTTGACAGTCTTGTTTTTGCTACGCCCAGCAGTGTCTACCGATTAGTAATGGCCTTTCTGACATTCCTTGCTGCTTAATTGAGCCACGTGATGTCTACCCTATACAATGAAAAAGGGTCAACCTATGAAGAATGGGGGGATTGTCACTCTAGGAAGAGAAATTATTTTCCCTATTGTAGTGCTGTCACTTCTTTCCTGTCGCAGCTCTGATGTTTGTCAGTACCTGCAGGGATCCTGTTAATAATCTCTGTAGGTATGCAGCACTCAATGCCTTTGGCCTGAAGCCACTCCCACAGCCCTGAAACTAATCTTAATGTCATTAGTCACCGAGGCTACAGACAACACCAGTCGAACACTCAGACGTTGTTTATAGTTACAAAGCTCCAACCAGCCATTCTACATGCCAATAAACAAAACAACGATAATAACAAAAATTACGTTCTGTTGAATGGTGTCGTGTGTGGCATCCAGATTTAATTTGAAGCTGTAAAATAACATTGATGGTAGCATACTACAAGCAGGCCAGAATACTTACAAGGCAACAGAAAAACAAGTCAAGTATATAGATGCATTAAAATAGATCAGGCAACAGTATATGAACATGAAAGACATGGAATATTGGAAATTAAATCAACATTTGATGACTTCATCTTTTAACTTTTAAGGAATTGTATTGCTATACATGACAAATAAAATGGAACAGACGACTGATACATTAACAAATGCTGTTGTAGCTGAGATATCACTCAGCTCGTGATTTTTAAATAGATTTATTATGTTCCTTTTCCGCTGCACATTTCTTCCTTTAATTTCATTGTGGCTAAAAAAACTAATTTGTTCTCACACATTTTGTGTTTTGGCTTTGCTTTGTATTGCATAACAAATGTGTCATGGCTTTTTAATCCGTTTCTACATTCAATAGCCACTTTTCTCTATCGGGTTGTTGGTTATGACACGCCTCTCTTTGCTTCCAAACAAACTTTGCGGAGATCGTTGTAACGTTGAATCACATCAGATTTATTCTTTGATCAAGGTGGCATACAAACATGAAGAAAAACGTCCTCTGAGCTGTGTTCCATTGTCATGCCATATATAGGCATATAGGCACGCACGTCATACCTGACTTAAATTAACATCTTTTAAAGCGTAGTGTGACTCACAAAAATAAATAGTTAAAAGTTTATTCTAAATCCTTATATTATTAAGCCAAACATTCAAACCATAATGATGAAAGGAAAATGGCTCTAACAAAATGTGTAAGTCTCATTATCTGAGATGTATAAAAGCGCTTCCTTCATTTCACAGGCTCTGACAGCCCAATGACACACATGAAGGATGTGACCACACATACACGGGCCATGAAGCTCAAACACCAGTCTCTCCAAGAACGACTGGAGATCTGCCTACTGGAGCTGAAGAAAGTCTGCATCCGAGAAGCTGTAAGTACAAGTTATCTGCAAATGAACTGGGGGTGGGGGAGAGATTTTTTATACAGCTTATACTGTATATCTGAATAAGTCAGTGGGATTGGAAAAAACTGGTCAAATCTTTTATTCTATTGGAGAAAACAGATTGCTATAATATTGTGATTATATTGTACTATGGGGCCTCTGGTGATTCCTACCCCTAACATCAGAAGGTTTAAACTGTTTCAAAACTAATGAGGCTGCAGATAGAACTATGTTAAAAACATGTCACAGAATAAATGTCTCGTATAACCCTGAACTTCTAAGCTCATTAAATTTGGTTTAAAAAAAATTCTAGTACAGCTAGTCTAATTCAAACTCAAGACAATTGTTACGTAATGAGACAAGCGGTCCTTTTAATGAAGGATTTAGTAGGTGGGGTAGTTTTAGTACAGGATGTTAGATGACACATTTTATTGCAGGTGAACAAAGTAACCTGCAAGAGAGGACATTTCTGAGATGTGTTCAGCCATGTCAACACTAATGTGGATCTATTAGAAACACTGTTTGGGTCAGAAAGTTGTGTGTCCACACTTCTGATGCTATAAGGTCTTGTTCTTTTCAAGCCAAAATGTTAGTGGTTTAAAAACACTGACTTTGATGTCCGACAAGTTGATACATCTTTTAAATGTGTCTGCCTCAGCTTCCCAATGTCACAGTCATGGACTACTGAGAGGGAACACAAGGTCTTTTTATCCGTCCTCCTTTATGACATTATTATTCTGGCTCTTACCACTGAGCAGAATGCAAACATCATCCTTTTCCTTTCGGACAATGCCATGCGGCTGCAGTGAGATCTTTTTTAAATGTATCACAGCCTTTGAAGAGGTATTCTGGTGGTTAAGTTGGCCAAAACTATTTCAATGTTCTCATGACAGCTTGGATTTAAATCCAGCATGAAATATTGCTCTCGTCACCTCTCCATTTTCAATATTTCTGCTTCTCTTTCTCTTTCTGCATTGGAAAATATCCAACTAAGAATATCAATTGCCACATCCAGTCGTTTCGAAACTGGACACATATTCCTTTGAAAGTTTCTCTGCCATATGTCAGTGCTGTGTGGTAAAATCCCAGAACAGATCATTCTTTCCTGTTGACACTTGGGCTGGGCACTCCTGTCGGGACATGCTCAGGTGAACTAATGGGAGCCATGATGCCTCTCCCTTCTTTTAGTGACAAAAGAACAGGCTTACGTGTTTGTCTGTCTGCAAAGGTGGCTGGTTAGGAGTGACTCAAAGCAACCATTTCTGTGACTCTTCGTTAATGAAATCAGTAATGGTGCGATGTCGTGCTCTGTGGTTGGTTGGGCACAGACACTCGATACAGTGAGAAAGTGAGACCTGAAGAATGTCTTGTGAAAGTAAATCTCTGCAAATGCAGAGATAAATTGTGCAACAGATTCCTTGAAACTATATGTGCCTCAACATGTAAAGAGAACTGAATGTGATACATCGTTTCAAAAGTGCCAAAGTTATGGTTCAATGGACTCTCAAGAGATGGTTTATCTTTATTTAAACAACTCAAACGAAAGGATAAAAAGCATTGATTAGCATCATTAAAAACACTTATTGATAATTATACTTTATTTGGACAACTCAACTGAAAGGATTTAATAGCATTTTTAAAAATATGTCTTTATTTTGATAAACCAAGCCAGAGGATCTGTCATCATTCAAGTTTTTGTTTTATCCAAATGCATCTTTGTGGACATTTGGATTTGTAATATTTTTTGTGTGGTTTAGGAGTTGACAGGCCGGCTGTCAGATGATTACCCTCTGCTGCCAGGAGAGAAGCCTCCGCAGATCCGCAGACGTATTGGAGCTGCGTTCAAATTTGATGAACAAAGCTTCCCTCGAGGAGCAGAGGTAAAATCAGCATTTAAAAAAACGCAATACTAAATAATGTCATTTCAAAGAATACGTAAACATCAAGGACATGCAATGTTCAATTGTTCAATTCACACTTGTTGTCTCTCTCTCGTCATTCCCTCATTTCAAAGGACTCAGAACTGAGTTTTGTTGATGCTGAGTTGGCGCTTCAGATGAAGATATACGAGGCAGCGCGCAAGCTCTGCGAGGAGGTTCACCCGAGTAAGGCTGTTAAGAAGAGCCGCTTACAGCAGTGCAAGAGAGAAGAGAAAAAACTCAAACGCTTGCAAGAGACGGCCTTTCAGCTTCGTCTGGAGCACGGCCGTTCATCACCACTCCCTGCTTTTAATATTGCACAACACGGTGAGAACACAGACTAGAAGATAGTTTTCCGTAAAAATCTATTTCACTACACCTAAGCAGGGAGCTATTTGAATATGAATGATTTGAAGAGCTCTGGATTTTCATAGATTTTTAGAAATGTAATATTTTCACATGTGAATCAATGCATTTATTTCTGTTTTTCAGATCTGGGTACATCTGATGACAGCTCTCTGTCTGATTCTGTGGTGCAAGATGAAGGTAAGATTTACCTTTAGTGCTGCAACTAACAATTATTTTAACTTTTGATGAATCTTTTAGATTAATCAGTTGTTTCCCTGTTTTAGAATTTTAGAATATAGTAAAAAAAGAATTCCATCCCGGTTTTTTAAAGTCCAATAGAATGTTTTTTAATTTCTTGTTTTGTCCGTCCAAACCCCAGTCATGTTCAGTTTAGTATGAAATAAAACAGGGTAGCCGGAAATCTCTATATTTAGAAGTCTGAAAACAGCATTTTAAAATCTGTCAATGAGAATTAGAGCAAAACAAACTTTGTTGTGGTTTAAAAGCTGGTAGTCACTACTTATCCATTACCTATAAAACATACAATTGTGAGCAGAGTCCACTAAATATTTTCTCAAATACTGCGGTCCTCATGGTGCATCTTAATCAAATATGTTTTTCAAAGCATACATAAAGAATCTATGGAGGAAATATATTTGTATTAACACTTAATAGTTTTCTGCAGCTATAATACACTACATATTTTCTTTGTTTCTTCCTAGAAGTGACAAGTCAGTCATCACAGCTGTCTTCAGGACTCCCTGATCCAGGAGAGACAAACCCGCCCCGGCTTCCCTCTGTGTCCTCACAATCCTTCTCAAAAGGCTCCTACATGTCTCCATCTGCGGCTCCACAAAACCTGCCGCAGACTCCAAGCCAGTCTCCCCATCCCAGCCTCACGTCTACGCCCAGTTTCAGCTCAAGCCCTGCAAGTGACCTTCCTCCCATCCAACACTCCCCGTGGACAGAGTCTAGTCTGGACCAACCTTACCAGAAGAACAGGAAGTCGCGCTCCTCCAACAAGTCGAGGTAACACCAACCATCCATCATGACTCCATTCCTGTTTATCAACTTTTTAGAATTGGGGAAAGCAAAGTGTGGTTTGTTTACTTGGTAAACTGTGTGAAATGCAGATTTTGTGGTTACTATTTGCATTAGCAAGCTTGTGAGTGAGGCAACTTTGGTTGGATTCTTTGGAAACTCTAGGGAAAAACCGAAGTTGATGAAAATGAAAAAGAAACAAATCATTGTGCATCAACTGAAGAAGTCTGTTTTACCTCAAACAGGGATGGGCTGATATAGGATTATATTGCTAATCCAGTAAACAAAAAACATTCACAATAAATTCCTTGTGGTGAATTTCCATTATAGATATATTTGTGAATATGGGGCATAAAAAAGCTCCCTAGCTTTCTGTCATTGTCGTAAAGTTGAAAAATACAGTTTGTTTCTTTGTTTATTTATTAATACAGTGGAATCTTATAATGTATGCTTGTGAACCTGATTTAAACGCGACAGATTATTCACTCAAAAAGATGTGTACTACATTTGAAGCAATGAAAATATCTGTTTCTTTAGAAAAAGGTTGATGATTATCTGGATTAAAGATAAAAAACTTGAAGTGCAATTACAATGGCCCGAATAATCAGGATGTAAGTGTTTGATTTCGCCCCACGCCTAACCTCAAGGCTATGAGGGCACCCTGATTGGTGACTCCCTTGTTGCTAGTGTTCGTTCATGAGGACAATATCCAGCAGCAAGAATACACTTGTCTTTTCTTTTCAACAATACTGGGCAAAAGCTCATTTAGAAATTGAATATCTTGTGCAAACTCATTTGTTCTTTTATAGCAGAGTAAATGACAGTGGTTCATATATGAGCAACACTGCCCTCTGCTTTTGCTCTGGTGCAAAAGCAGCCAAAGGGAGAAACTCATTTCTGTACATCCGGTTTCAAAATGACACATTGACAAAGAGGAAGAACCCTGGCTTTATTGCCCACTAGTAAATTCCTGTATTAAAAACTCCATATTATGATAATTGTATTCGTCTTTGTCAGGGTAATAAATAACTGTAGTCCTTCTACGGCTGAGGCAGAACAGCTGTAATACTACGAGACTCCACTTCATCCATTAGCTTTCTTTTCTTTATCTTTGGGATTTCTAATGTTGATGTCATTATGAAAGATATTTTTTGATAAACAAAGAAACTTAATATAATGTGTTTCTTGTGTGTTCAACAGTCCATTCAAAACGGAGTTGTTACCCCCGCTGGAGGCTGTTTTTGCTTCCCACCTGAAGCTGGGCCACAGCCAGTCCAACAGCCTGCCCTCCACACCAGAGATGAGAGTCCACAGACAGCTCTCCCTCAGGTAGCCCCCCCCCCCCGTCATTCACCTCCACAGTACTGTATGTCTGCAGCACTATATTCAGTGCTGGCTGTAAACTAAAAACTAAAACGGTAAAATTACTATAACTATAATAATTGTATTGACTCGGATAGAAGAAGTACTCTTCTTAATAAGTGTAAAAAAGTATCTGGTAAAAAAACTGCTCACGTATTGAGTAACTTAATTACATGCAATTTATTACATCAATTATACGATCAGGCTTGTTCCAACAGGTAATAACAAAGCTTGGACACCGTTTTTGGGTGTGTTTTTGTGTGGGCTGCTTTTGTCTCTTGCTGTTGGACAATCCCTGTTGTGCGTGTGAGTTTAGCTGGATGGTAAAAGTAGCCAGAAGTGTGTAGCCCAATGTTATAACGTAGAAGTAGAAACATGTTGTTACTAATTTAATTAAGTAAGGATACAAATTATTCTGCAAAAAATAACTACCTCTTAGAAGTACAATTTTAAAAAAAAAAAAAAAAAAAAAAATGACTCGACTTATTTAATGCCCACTATCCACCACTGCCTAAGCTAAAGCTGTGATTTACTGCAAATGCTATTATTTACCTTGTTTTGCACATTACATTTATTATTATTTTAAATAGTGAGATGTTCATTTTTGAAGAAAAAAAACGTTTTCCTGGGTAGCCATATTAATGCACTTGCTCCTTTCACAGAATACCCAACCCTGAGTCTCCATTTGAAAGGGAGCGAGGTCGCACCAGAAGTGCAAGGAGGCGACTGACAGAATTTGCAATAACTTTACCGGATGCTCGTCTTCCTGCTGTGAACTACGCAAACTATGTCAACTCTGAGGATAGCAACTCTGAACACTCGTTTTCATCTTACAACAGCTCACCGTGTCAGGAGCTGCCCTGTGATTCACCCAAACAGTATCAGTCTGCATTCGTGCACTCTGGCCCCGGGGGCAGCTGTGGCCCTCAAGGCTTCCAGAGCACTGGCTTTTACCATAACCCCCGGCAACAGTCCAGCCCCGGGTTTCCTAAAGCCTATTACACTGAAGAAACAGCCTACCGACCTGAACTGGACTTGGCACGGGGCTATTACACCCAGCAGGCTCCCTGTCCTCCCAACAGATATGAGTATTACTATAAAGACCCTGCTGTGCTCCACCAGAGAGCACAGAGGCCTCTACCTCCTGATATCAGACTCTCCCCCTCCCCGGCTCAGTGGGAGCATCCGCAGTACCGCTCCAATGGCCTTCCAAAACAAGTAGTGAACGAGCAGCTGACCTCGTGGCACCGCCGCAGTCAGCTGAAGTCCCCCAGGTCCTGCTCTCTGGACAGACAGGGGGCCGTCAGAGTTAAAAACATTTCTGCTCGGGAGACCGCCTTTCACCAAAACCAGAAGTACCATGAGCAGGTAAGCAGACAAAAATATTTTGACACACATCTTACAATCTGTCAACATAGAAACATACAGACTGAAACAAGTAGTATTAACCAAATAATGAATCATTTAATAAGTTCTTCATGACAGGAAATAGTTTTTATTCACCTAATCACTACAATAAGAAATTCTGGCTTAAGAGGCATTTTGGTAAATGTGCCTGTTTGATCAGAAACCTGTGGGTGAACTCATGTTGTAAAATAACATTGTTTCAATAATTTAATTATATTGTTTCTATTTTTGTTGTTGCTAACTCAGGTTATCCAGAGAAGGGCTCTTCAGAGAGAGGAGACTCGCTGGGTGGTAGATGACGGTTCTCACTTTATGAGTCAAGTTTAAACCAAGGACACCTTGGACCGCAAACTGAGAGGCCACTGCATTTATTACCAAATAACCAAAGTGGAGTCTTAAGAAAATCAAGTCAAATTTACTTTTTAAGCCCCCCAAAAAATGGTTTTTTTTTCATGATTCTTGTTTATCTTTCTGCCTGCATTAAGGCATAATAACGAATGCATCTTACACTACAATCTGATTCAAAAATGATATGGCTACTAAAGTGACTGTAAATATAACCCCGGTTGCTTGTTTTTGTCCACTCTATATGAATTCAATGCTTGTTAAATGTTACTGAGAGCTGTTTGAACCTGCCAAAGTTCAAAACTCATATTTAAGTTTATCAAACAAAACCACAGAGTTCTGCTTCTTTAAATACAGGGTTATTTTGATATGCGAATTGACTATCTATGATATAACGAAACGGAAATCGTCAGCCAATAGTTTGGAAGCTCTAACAGGGAAATGCCCAACACAGTTTAACATTGTTGTCAGATTGTGAAAAATGTATGTTTTTAAAAAGTAACATTTGACATTTAACTAGTTACATTAAGGTCCCTGTTGAATGTAATCTCACAAGAACTAACATCAATTAATCATGTTTTACATGTCTATAACTGCTTAGTTATACAACAGAGTGCTGCATTAGATGTTGCAATCTGTAGCGAAATTATGCAACTTCAATTGAGGAAGTGTTCAAGACAGAGAAGTTTACTTTTTGCTGTGTGGTAGATGGGGTGCTCAATTCCTAGCTGTTCGAATGAAATCAATGAATTGTAAAATAATGTAAATCAGTAACATGTCCTTTTTTAGCTACATTTTGTGTTTAATGTTCCATGATTTTTTTTTCATCATGTTAATGAACTTGAGCTGCTTCAATGTAAGATCCCAGTTGTTTCTTCATAATCATGTACTTTTAGAGGACAATGCGTCTTGTTTTTCTACTTATTGTGTCTGTGGATCTGCCAGTTAGCTTGAATTACTTATAGACTTAATAAAGTAGTTGAAACTAAATATTAATTTACTCACATGGGCTGAAAGGCAGCAAATTTAACAAGTCTTGATGTTTGGCAGCTATTAAATTGTTCAAATCAAATTTGAAATATCCCAAACTTTAACAGATATTTGTCAGTGTCTGTATTAGATCTGCTCTCAAACCACTGACAATGTGTGATTCACAATCATGTCTCACGATCAAACACGCTTTCAACGGTTCAAATGAAAGCAACCTTCTGCAAATTCAACTGCAGCTTCACACTGACCGGTCCCTCAAAGTGATCTATGTATGTGTTTATTTATTGTGATATGCACCATTTGACTTATGGAAAGTCAGACTTGAAATAGAAAAAGACATGGACCTGAGTTTGCAAAATATAGCGGCAGAAAAGACTGTTTTGAGATGTATATAGAAAAAAACAGAACACAATCATGTAACCTTGTGTGCCTCTTTTTTACTGTATTTTTATTTATCAGTTAAAGTAGTTTAAGTGAACCTAATAATAATGTGTTATGTTGCTGATGATAAATCTGTGAAGTGTTTACCCTGTGGAAGAAAATAAAAAATAATGTTTGCATAGTGTTGAGAATAATTTCCTGTTTTATCTTGATTTTTCCAAAGTAGAAATGTTGACATGTCATATTAGAAAAGCACAGGTGTAAATAAGAAAGATTTGTGAATACTAAATTATATTTTGTGCTAATATTCTTACTAATAAAAACTTTTTTCTTATATTATGAGTATTTTCTTAAGGAAGAGGACTTATGTAACCAGAGCCAGAATCCTTGTTGGTTGCAAGGGGCTCAAATACTTATTTCCAACAATTAAATGCAAATCAATTTATATCTCTTATATGATGTACATTTCTGGATAATCTTTTTGATATTCTGTCTCTCATTAGTAAAATAAACCTACCATTAAAATTATAGACTGTTAATTTATTTGTAAGTCGGTAAACTTACAAAATCTACAAGGGTTCAAATACTTATTTCCTTCACTGTGTATAGGGAGTATTGTTCATTCTCAGCTGCAATGTTGGCATATCCATCTGGTCCAAATGTGTGCAAACCTGAGAGTGGTAAGTATTTATTCAAGCTTAAATAGCAATTATTTAAATGATGTATTAGTCTGTCCAATTTTTCTCTGTTAAGTATTGCCTATGAAAATAGAGAAATAGTTAAACTAATCTTCATCCCACTTTCTCAATGTCCAAGTGTATGTCTTTAAAAAAAAGTGTCAGTCAAAGCATACACTTTAATAATACAGAAAAGCTGCATTTTGCATTTTGTTATACCTAATTGTTTAAGCAGTTAGATATTTCCATCTCAAACTAAACTTGCCTTGCGTTTGGTGAAAATAAAAGAAATATCTAAACAATATCTGTCGTTTTCTCATATTCATAAGAATGATGTATTGCTTGCAAACAGGATCCTGCATCGGTGCCCTGGGAAGAGCACACAACGGCAGTAGAATGAGAGCAATAACATGTAACTTACATGTCTTTATTGATTCCTTAATCATCCACAGAGCCCAGAAGGTGTTATGCAGAGACACATATATAATTTGTAAGCACGATTTAAAAATACATGCTCTCATAATTATTATTATGTATTCACCAGTGAATGTTGGCATAGTTTATCACTTCTTTTTTTAAATACTTTATACTTATACTATATATATATATATACAGGACTGTCTCAGAAAATTAGAATATTGTGATCAAGTTCTTTATTTTCTGTAATGCAAT